AACGAGCTAAACAAGCTGAAAATGAGCGTACAGTGGTATGACACGACCCGTGACACGGGATCTATGGTCGTGTCACCACCCGTGTCGTCCAACAGAAGAGTTGCAAGTGCAGTACATGACACGACCCGCGACACGACCTGTGATACGGGCGTGTTTGGTCGTGTCGCACACGCGGGCAGTTTTTAATCCCTTGCCTTTTTGGATAAGGAGAAGAGTTTTGGATATTAAGAAAGGAATATTAACCCTGTTCTGGAAAAAAAAAGGTAGAGAACACAAGGAGAAGGGCTTGGAACACAGAAGAGAGGCAATTGGGAAGAAGAGAAGATCAACCACAAGATTTCTAGTTTTTCTTTCTCTCTTTTGAACTTATTTTCTCATGATGATTTCTAATATGTCTATGTATTTGAATTCAAACATGAGTAGCTAAATTTCTTTGATTCTAAGACATGGTAGTAGATTAATTGTTTGGGATTTTTGGATGATTTATCATAGTTGATTGTTTTCTTTTAAACCCTATTCAAATATTTTTATTTCATGAATTGCAATTGGCCACTGCTTTTACATGTTTGATGATATTGTTCATAATTCGAAAGATGAGTTCAATATTAGATCTTTAATATTTGACACAATTTATTTGCTTTAATCGAGAGATTAGTAGAAAGTTGTGAGGATTTTGGGTCTTTCAATCTTTTTGGAGTTGAATTGCATGTGTTGAGTGGAGACGCTAATATATGTGATTTAGTCTAGGTTTTATCGATCTTGAGAAAGACGATAGGCTAATTTCGTGATCATCTTATAGGGTAGATAAAGAAAATAGTTAATTGTGATATATTGGCTAATTTCGTGATCATCTTATAGGGTAGATAAAGAAAATAGTTAATTGTGATATATTTGAAGGAACCCAACTGTTAATTGAACTCATAGTCTTAGAATCTACCATTCCCATATATTCTTCTTAAGTGTTTTTCTAGTTGTTTTCTTGTTATCGATTTCTTATCTTTTGAATTATTTTCTTAGTTTAGATAATCAATCTTATATTCGGTCGTCTAAATAAAATTGGCACTATCATAATCTAGTACTTGATTAATTGGTTGTTTGGTCTCTTGGGTTACGACCTTGCTTGCCACATACTACGAGCAAAGCCGTACACTTGTGGTCGAGCTTTAAAAATATAGGCGAACAACAATAATCTCGAAGGTTGAGCGCTTCGAGTCGCCCGATGGAGGTCAAGATCAACGGTCAGGAGCAAAAAGAAGAGATGAAATGAGGCGCATTAATTGCAGAATTAGAACAAAAACAATATACGATGGGGCGCGACAGTCGAGATGGTGGCTTCCAAGAGATGCAACGGGTCACGTTAGAAACTTTTTGAAAATCAAAAGTTAAACTGAGGCGGGACAGAAAATAAGTGGTCGAAATCAAAGGAAAAAGCAAGGAGATATTAAAGGCAAATAGTCATAAGAAAAGCAAGATGAAAGATCTGGTCGATCCAGAAGCAACAAAAACCAAACCTCAAGATGCAGAAAGAGGGTAGAGAGGTCGAAAAATTCAAAAAGGAATGGAGAGACCAAGGTAATAGGTCGAAGATAGTGGAATAAGACTAACACACTAGCATTCAAGGTTAAAAAATCTACTAAAGGACGGAGCTATACTAGCTTGGTCTATAGTGAAGAGGACTAGATGATATAGGATATAATACCGGTTCAAACCTCCCAAGAAAACCAAGTAACCAGGCCAGGTTAATGGAGCAACTCGACTCACACCGACCTGAAAGTAATAGTCGAACCAACGGTGGCCCACTGAGAAGAGAGTGCAGCTAGTAGATAAGCCCATAATCGACTCGACCTCAGAAGATCAAGAGGCCGAGTCGACCACGTTCTACCTAACTGATAGGTGAGATGAAGAGGACCACGTTCTACCAAAACGCACGTTTGACCTGGTGACGTTGACTTGGTCTCATAGGGGGACAAAAATGAATCTAACTGGGAACCACGCTATCCGAGTGTTGGCTATATAGTAGTTGTATTATGTATTCTAGGGTTAGGTTAGATTAAGGCCCAACATAAGCCCATCTTTTGTCATTATATACATGTACATACCTTTGTGATTAATACATCGGATATTTTTCTCACATTCTCACATGGTATCAGATTAGGTTTATAGTCCAATATAAGGTTGGTATTTTTCTCTCGTCTCCAGCCGTCTTCATCTCTCACATCCCAGACCATCTCCTCTGGCATTCTCTGGCGAGCCGGCGCTCAAAACTTTGGCCGATTTTCTGGCGCGTGGGGCGCACACACGCCCAGTTTCTGCAACAGCACGGAAGCTTCAGCCAACGCATGGGACCCACCCCCAGCTTCGATCACCACAGTTTTTCAGTCTTCGACCCCTCTCTTGTTCGGTGTTTACTTGATGTTGCTACTGTTCGTCGATGGTCACTTCTATAGTTAGATGTCAAGAATGCCTTTCTTGCATGATGCCTTATCTGAGGAGGTTTACATGACTCCTCCTCTGGGGTCCTTGTCCTCTGGGAAGGTTTGTCGTCTATATCGAGCTTTGTATGGTTTGAAACAAGCGCCTCGTGTCTGGTATGCCACGTTCAGCTCTGCATTGTATCAGTTTGGTTTCACTACGAGTGATCACGATTCCGCTTTGTTTCTTCGGCACTCCTCCTCAGGGATCATTATTTTGATGCTCTATGTTGACGATATGATCATCACAGGAAATGATGTTGTCGGTATCTCCGATTTACAAGACTATCTTCGTCAGTGTTTTGAGATGAAGTATTTGGCCCAACTTCGCTATTTTTTGGGTCTTGAAATTTCTAATTTCTCAGATAGCTTCTATTTGTCTCAAGCCATGTCTGCCTCTGATCTTCTTGCTCGGGCCGGTCTCACTAATTGTCAGACAGCTTTCACACTTCTTGATTATGATGTTCGTCTTACTCTATTGGATGGCTCTCTTCTTGAGGATCCTACATTATATCGTCAGCTTGTTGTGAGTTTGATATATTTGATTGTTACTCGACCTGATATAGCTCATGTTGTTCATATTGTGAGTCAGTTTATGGCTGCTCCGAGAACCATGCATCATTCTGTTGTGTTGTACATTTTTCGTTATGTGAAGGGCACTCTATTGCATGGTTTACACTTCTCGGCATGTTCTTTCTCGACACATAGTGGCTATTCTAATGCTGATTGGGCTGGAGATTCTACTGATCCCCGTTCCATTACTGGGTACTGCTTCTGGGTGATTCACTCGTCTCTTGGCGTAGTAAGAAGCAAACCTTAGTTTCCAAATCAAGTGCTAAGTTTGATTACCGTTCTCTTGTTGATTCCACCTTCGAGCTATTATGGTTACGTCGGCTACTTGCTGATCTCGGTGCACCTCAGTCGCCGTCTACTACTCCACATTGTGATAGTCAAAGTGCTATAAAGATGTCTCATAATGATACCTTTCATGAGCGCACCAAGCATATTGAGATCGACAGTCACTTCATTCGACAACATGTTGTACATGGGACTGTGAAGCTTGTCTTCGTCTCCTCTACGTATCAGCTAGCGAATGTCTTCACGAAGTCTCTCATTCCTGGTCGCTTTTGTTTACTTCTTAGCAAACTCACGATGATATCCACTATACCACCTTGAGTTTGAGTGGGGTGTTAGTTATATATTAGTTGTATTATGTATTGTAGGGTTAGGTTAGATTAAGACACAACATAAACCCATCTTTTGTCTTTATATAAATGTACATCCATTTGTGATTAATACATCATATATTTGTCTCACATTCTCACAACGAGGATTGGACCACGCGTCGCGATGAGGTTGAGTCGTCTGTACTCCTGACATAAACAATCTGAGGCGCTGCAGGTCATACGAACGGGCAGCTGGGTTAACTCTCCGGGCAAACTTGGGGAACGAGATACCACCCTCCTATATAAAGAGGTGTGATAGGTTAGTTTAGGGGTTACATTCTCTATATACTCACTTTACATACGAGATTACTGCTCATTATCCTCATTCTCATACTAACTTAGTCATTAGAGACTCTTCATTGAAAAATTTTCTTTCCGATATTGAGGTCTTGTAGGTGTGGAGGCCGATCGAGGTAGAAGAAATCATTTTGTAGTTCGAGCAGAGACCGAGTGTAATTTAAAAGTCCAAACAAATCAAATAATAAAATAAATAATTAAAAATTATAAATAAGTAACACTAACTTGATATTTAGCCTCTTGCATATTTATATACAGAATCTATACTTATATAAAAAGCTATCCTATTTACTAAAATTAGTAGCAAAAAAATAGGTCAACATTTAATGCAACCCATAAATAGTAGTTTTATTATTTTTTATTTTTTTATTTAAAAATCATACAATTTAATTTATAAATAAGCTTTACTATAATCATACAATTCAATCATACAATTTAATTTATAAAAAATTATACAATTTATTTGTTTGTTTAAAAATACGCTTTAATATATGTATATATATGGTACTTTTTGTAATAAGTTTGAATAAAATGTGTTACTTGAGTATCTAAACAATTTAAAAATTCAAATGTTTAAATTAATTGATAAATAATTTATAAATATCTATTTTATTTAATTTTATACAAAATAATTTTAAATATAATAAAATTTATTTAGAAAATCGTATCGATCCTACCAGTTCAACCGACTGGTGTTGACGGATTCAATAACAAATATTTTATAAGTGAACTAGAATGATTATAAACTGGTTCTCGGTCAATCCGGTCAAATTGTGTCCGACACAATTTAATTTTAAAACGACGGACAAATCTTTATTAATTTATTTACATTTTAATTTATAACACAATCGTAATATTGTTTTCGCATGCATTGCACGGGCAACACACTTAGTATAATTAGCATAGCGTAAATCATTTGTTGCCTCTTTCAATTTGCTCTTTCCTTCCGCCTGCCTCTTTAATTTCGTCGGAAATCTAGGTTTCACTCCCGTTTTCTTTGTTTCTGATGGCCTCACCTTCTCAAGCCAGCCTTCTTCTTCAGAAGCAGCTCAAAGGTACTCCTACTGTTGAAATTAAGTAATATCTGAATCGAGTTCAGTGTTGGTGACTGGGCTTTGTTTCCCAGGTTCGAGTTAAAATTGTGGTGGTCTTTAATGATCTACGCTTTTCCTTTGCAGATCTGTGCAAAAACCCTGTGGATGGTTTTTCTGCTGGTTTGCTAGACGAGAGTAATCTGTTTGAGTGGAGTGTTACCATAATTGGACCTCCCGACACTTTGTAGTTAGTCTTGCTTCTTGCATCTTGCTTTTTGGAATTTGTTTATTTCCTTTCTTGAAACGGTTTTTCGATGTGCTCTTGATTTTGACTATGAATCTTTTGTCCTATGTTTGTATTGAGTATTTGGGTTGCCTGGGAAGATTCTGATGTTGGGATTTTGTTCTGTGCCTATTATTAACTATGCAAATGGTTGGTAGTGTGGGCTAGTTTGTTTTGTCCGGAGGGTATGCGTACTTCTTAAGCTATTATCGAATTAGGAGTTTAGAAACAAGTTGCAAAACATCCACCGTTGAGCTACAAACTTCAGTGGCATGCAACCTTCCTTTGGTTATTTGTACTTGGTTTGGTCGTTATATGCTTGCAACATCTGCAGTAATCTACTTGTGGAAACTGGAACTGGAGTGCCCTGTTGCTGTGACTTTAGGCTCACAATCCGCGGCCGTGCTAAATAGTAGCATTAGTTCTTGTTGCTTGACTATTGGTGGAGAAAAAGTATTACTTGGAGAAATATGTGAAGTGTGAATAAATACAAAATAATTACCCTCGCGAGATAGCATTAGAGGATTAAAATTTGAATAATGATTAATTTTGTGAAAACTATTTGAAATGCATGTCTTTACTAGAGTACCAATTTTCATTTTTCTGTATTTTGCCGTTGATACAAGAATCTCTTGAGGGAGTGTTGTTAAAAATGATGAATCCACAGGGTTAATTTAGACTGAGGGAGGACGTGTGAGAGAAGTGTCCGATTGAAAAACAGTCTTTATGTAGTTGTAGAAGTTCTTTGAATACCTTCTAATTTAAGGCATGCTAGATACATCCGTCTTCTTCTAGTACATTAACTTGGATTCGATTTGGAGAATAAACAACTGTATTCGAAAAGATATTAACTCTATGGTAATCAGTTGAGTGCAAAGGTATTGCAAAAAGAAGTGTTTTGTGTTGTATGTTAAATTGTTACTACTGTAATTAACATCAAAATAGGAGTACAAGTGTGGGAATGCTTTATGTTGTGATTTGGGAGATTGATAAAATAATGTTGCACTATATGGAAATATTTTTCGTAATCATGTCTGGCATGTCAAATATGTGGATTTGTTATAGTATGTTGCATAAAAGAACACACATAAATGAACATATTTATATGTGTGTTTCATACAAGTGACCTGGTAACAAAAGTTACTGTTTCTATTTTTTTTTTTTTTTTTCCTTTTGCCTCCTCATTTGCGCACTGCCGACTGATTTAGTTTGTTTTCATATAGTTTTTGAATTGATGCTCCTCACTTCTTACATGATTTTGATGGTTGGTATCATATATTTGAGTTTGTACTCCTGTGATGTTGAATTTTGTATGCAGTGAAGGGGGATTCTTCAATGCAATCATGACATTTCCCTCAAATTATCCAAACAGTCCCCCAACTGTGAGATTCACTTCAGAGATTTGGCATCCTAATGGTTTGTTCTCTTCTATAGGAAGGCTCCTAATGATTGTGTTGGATTTACTTTTAGTAAACTGAATTGAGAGTGAGAGTTTCCTTGGAATGCAGTTTACTCTGATGGAAAGGTTTGTATTTCAATTCTTCATCCCCCTGGAGATGATCCAAATGGCTATGAGCTTGCTAGTGAGCGATGGTCTCCTGTCCACACGGTATGATCTAGGATGAGTTTACTTGAGCACATTTGTAATTTCCATCATTAGAATTATGAGATGGATGTCCAAATAAGCTCTAGATCTTCGCGAGGTTTGAATAATCACCACCCAGAGGAGAGTAGTGATCTTCTGAGACAGTTTGTTTTCTTTGTTGGTTGTGGCTCTGGTGACTCTAATATGGGGTCTAAATTAAATTGTAAAACTTGAACACAAATATAATACATGAGTTGTAAATTGTTTTTCTCTTCAACCCACCGATGTTTATCGATTTCTGATAGGGATTTAATTTTTTTAATAATACCTTTTAGAATAAACAGTTTTATGCATTAGAACCTCTATGTTACGGGATAAATTTCTTTGTTTATTTATCACGAAATTGGATGACATAGTTTTTGTCTTAGAATATCAGATACTATGAGAGCTTTGTATTATGTCCATTAGATTAATGATAGGAGTATCAAGCTTGAAGATCTAATAAGTGATTGTTTTCCTTTTTAGGTTTGGTCTTTACAATATTAACACTTTCAAAACTGTCAGGGTCTGTTTACTGATCCATTGACTAAGTTGGCATCAAATCATGATATCAAATTCTTTCAAGTCGTCCACAAAAGATTTGCTGATCAATTGACTTGGCATTGAGTCATTGACTATAATGTTTTTGTAAACTGATTTAACAACTTCAGAGTTTTAAAGTATCATCTTTATGCCCATTGACAGTTTACCTTGAACTTAAATTCTAGATTGTTGTGCTAATTGTAGATGAGACTTGGTCACTTGGAAGAGTTTGATATGGAGTTGCATTTTTTATTATGCCAGTCAGCTTCAGGACATATGGATGGATTAGTTGCAAAATAGCTTGATCTTTGATATTTTGAAAGTTCAGTCAATTTATTGGTTGATATTGATGGGTTTTGTGTCCCTGCTTCATTTTTTCTTCATGTTTATTTTTAGAAGATTGTTAAACATGCTTTAATCGAAAGAATATGATTTTCAGGTGGAGAGCATTGTTCTAAGCATCATATCAATGCTGTCAAGCCCTAATGATGAGTCTCCTGCTAATGTTGAAGCTGCTGTAAGTGCAATTGGATTGATTTTTTTTTGTTTATATTCTTTAGCTTACTGCCTTTTCAATTTTCTCTCTTTCCCATTTTCTTCGTCGTTTCTTTTTCTGTTTTCAGTCTTTTCTCAAGTTGGTTACTTTAACAGTACGTTTTTCTGGTTTTTGGCATCTGAAGTTCTAATTGTCAACTATGAGGAACCTATTTTACATAGCAAATCTATTCGATACAGCACAATTTCTCGAATGTATTATTACCATGAAATGGTGCTTTTCCAAGCCATACAGTTGGTTGATGAAAGCCAATATATCAGTTCAATGTGAAAGTCAAGTTCCATTTTTGATCTATAAAAATAAGTTAATTTACACATGGATTCCAATTTTTGTCCTTTTTTTACCTGTTGGTTGATTACTGCAGAAGGAGTGGAGAGAACATAGAGACGACTTCAAGAAGAAAGTTAGTCGTTGTGTGAGAAAATCGCAGGAAATGCTGTGACATTTTCCCAAATGCTGCTCAAGCTATCCGAACAAAAAGAAAAAAAAGTCGGGTGTCAAGCGAAGAATCTAACTTCTTCTGAATCAACTTTTGCGCAAGCGATGCAGTTTTAAAAGACCACATCAAATTTTCTGTTGCTTCTATGTTTTTAAAAGACCTCATTTCAAAATGGAACTCTATGGGGGATCTTGTTTGCTTTGCTGGTATTGTGGCTTTTTGTTATCTGCTCTTTTTGCCTTTGGTCTCGTTTTAGTACTTTGCAGTTTGCATTAATATCCTAACATTGAGTTTGTTTAATTGCGCAAGCATCTTTTTTAGTACTTTGCATTAATATCCCTCATATATCGTGATTTTTCTTTTTATGTCAATATTTTTTTTAATTATCCAATATATATATATATATATATATATATTTAAGGCACAATGTAAACTTTGCATTTCAATTTTTCCCATTTTGCCTCCTTAAACCACTTCTGGTTTAAAAAAAATTGGAGAAGAATAGCAAAGAAAAAAAAAAAAAGCAGCAAAGATGGATTTAAACAAATAGTAATCAGTTTAAAGAAAAAAATATATATATAAGGAATTTATTTTACCCGCTCAAAGTATTTCATTTTGGAATGTGTTTGGCAAGTATCATAAATTAGCTTATAATTTATTTGATCAGTATTCAAATAAGTTTGATTTGATAGGATAAATTTTTTTAAAAAGCTCAAATTTATCTCCTAAGCTTCCTTGGGTACTTTTCATACAAGCCTGTCGAAATTCTTATTTCAGCTAATTTATCAGCTAATTTAATTAAATAATTTTTATTTTATAAGCTAGTTTTTAGCCATATATGACATAAACTACCAATGATAAGTTTGAAATTCACGTATAAACTATCAATTATCATTCTATCAACTAGTTTATCATATAGTTTTACTGAACATACTCTTAATCTTTGCGAAATAATTTATTTATTTATTTATTTATTTTTTAAGTTGAGTAGTCTTTCAGATACATGATAATATGCTTCGTGAATATTAATAAATGACTCAAGGTTTCCAGCACAATTTACGATGATTTGAATCAAACTTTAAATGTGATTTATAGAGCTTTTGAAATCCACGATGAGATAAACAAATTAAAGTATAATT